GTTTTTGTTTCTGACGCTCACGTACCTTCCCCGAATTCGTTCCTCGTCTCAGCTTTGCGCGCTTGAGTTCCCGTGCCTCTTTCCTATTTGCACCATGCCGTGTCTTTGTTACTTCCTTTTCAAACGTCCCAGTGAGGTAAGAGAGACCAACTACACGGCAGCTACGACCGTTGTAGTCCCCCCTTTTTGTCCGTCCTTTTTGTTTATCGATCCAAACATCAAATCCATTCTCACCAATACCACCAACTCTCAACGTCGCCCATCCCACTTGCACGACACACACTGAACGACGAAACGAGCTGCGAGCCACCAATCTCCTGTCCCTCTCGCCGTTTCATCTGAGCATTCTCGCTTCATCCCGTCTTTTGTACGTCAATTTCGTAACGTTGAATTGGTCGCTCTTCTTACAACGTATTTCGACTTCGCCTCGCAATTTCGCTTTGCAATGCGTCTGCCTCTTCGGCGCTGATGCTCCTTGTGGCCAGCGAAAGGCGCAACTTCGTGCCGAGTGGATCGTGTCAGAGAGCACAGGGCTGTGTCACACTATCTCACCTGCACGCAAAAGAGCAGCTACGTCATATTGCAGCCAGGCGCAAGGCGCTGTGAGGTCTCGCCTATTGTCGACCAATCTAGCGACCTTTTCGCCGGGCCGTCTAACTCTGGTAGCCTTCCTCCGGCCCCCAATCCAACCCTGGTCACTTCGTGTCCCCAGATAGAAACCATCCACTCGCGGCCGTGCCGCTATCTTTCCTCAGGCTTCCCTCGAACTCTAACATTGTTTATTTTTGTGTGCCTTGTTCTTACTTTTTCATTATCCCAGCCCTTCCTTGTCCACTTGACGCCCTTTCTGGCCCGGATTTGCCCTTGCGCTACCATTGTGACGCAGAAAGAGCGGCCTCGGCTTTGCCATCTGCTGACCACAGACAATAGAAGCACGCCCTGTGTGGATAATCAGGCAACTCATGATTTGCAAACAGCAGGACAAGGAACAAAACCCGCGCAGGTCCGGAAACGTGGTGTGAAGCCGCGGAAGTTATCGGCCACGACCAGCTACGGTGATGATCCGACACATCCCATTTTGGGCACAGCAGGTTGAACAACCTTTCCTCAGGGCAACTTTTGATGCTGAGACCTGCGAGGAAATGGAACGAAAAGGAAACACCGACGCAGACAAACTTTCCTAAGAGAACGGCACAAAGAGGGCGAGGGCGACGTATGAGTTCATGTATCCCGATTTGATGCGCCAACAGCCCACGTTGGCTTGCATCTCGCGAAGCGTGATGCTGACTTACTCTGCCAACAAGTGTGGCTTGGTAGGCGGCTGAGCCTTGCTCCAACAAGAACCCTGCGCCGCGCTACATCGTGGCCAACTTTCGTCATGTCCCTCGCAAGCAAATAGATCGGGCTTAAATGGTTCTTCTCAGCCAAGTCTCGATGCCGGCCGCAACTGTCTCATCTTTGTGCTGCGAGTGGCTTCCCAAGCGGTTCCTCTGATCCTTCGACACTAGATCCTTGGCGTTCCACAGCATCGGGTGAAACGGTTTACAGTCCACTTTCACTCATCGACATCACAAGGACCGTTCCTAAATCTGTTCAACGCCTTGGCTACCGCCTGTCCGCACGCCTCGGCCCTTGTATAGCGCTTGCTTCAGCCATATCTGTTCTCTGCGATCCAGAGTTCAAGGGACAACACAGGCCGGGTGCAGAAGCCCCTCTCCCATCCCCCAAAACGGAGGAAGAGATATGAGGTACGCTGCGCCAATTACGCCACATGGCTAAAATAAACTTTTGTTGCAACAACGTATTCCAGTTGTATCACTCGCTAGGAACAGCTCTATTTCAAGAACCGGTCAGACGACATCTTTTGTGTTTCCTGTCTTGACCGGCCTGGCCGGTCGGCCAGTCATTGACCGTTCAGCCGGGTCAACTCGACGACAATATGAGTGTGGCTGGCATACGACGAGATACGTCATGGCCGCGGCCCTTCGATTGTCACGGACCAATCCAACATTGGCTTCTAAATTAAGATCCTGAGAACCCGTTTCAAATCTTTCGTTGGCCACAAGACACAGCGGAATACATATTAGAAAGAACACAATAAACGTCAAGTCGCGTATTTGAGGCAGCACCAAGACATTCTGTCCCTCGCGTCTTGCCACGCCAACCCGTCCAGATCCGAGCCTCGTGTATAGTCAAGCATGGTGGGCCAGTCGTAGGCGAACGATATGGAATGCAAATACGATCTGCACACCCCGGCTAAGCCCTATACAGAATCTCCTCTACTTGTGTCTACCGCAGAAGTACCTGTCGCAAGGAACAGGCAGAGGACGGAACCTACGGCTGTGCGTGTGACTGCAGGATCAGGATCGCGCTCCTCGCAGCAGTGGTTGGGGCAGGAGGGGTGGCCCTGTCCATGCCTGTGCCTCCTATTGGACGGGTGTTGCACTCGATGGCTGCTGCTTGTTCAGCCTTGTGGAGATGGTGTCAGCCTGGACGAGGTACCATCTGTACAGTCTGTATGAGGTCTGAGCACCCGGCACAGATACAGATTGTGGACACTGTCTGCGCTGTTCGGCACAGTGCTGGGATAAGGCAACCCGAGGGAGAGCACGCAGAAGGATCGCACACGGAAACCAAAAGTGAACCTGAGCAGGTAAGATGGGACTCGGAGTAGTCAGGTACGATTCACGGTAAAACTGCTGACTGGGTACATGACCAGACGACATCGTAATGTGACCCCAGCACGATCTCCTTTTGTCCCAATAGAGTGTTCCACCATGTCTCCATCCTGTCTTTCCCTGCCCGTCATTTCCTCTTGGCGTTTGCAAATCAGGACTCCTCGGTGTCGGTCGTGTATTCGAATGCCCCAGGAACCGGTGCATCCGGTCCACCCTCACTATCGGGATCGGCTTCCCATGGTGCTGCCGATGCCGTCTTGGACGTTGCCGTCGCTGCTTCAGCGTCTATATTCGTCTCTGTGCTTGGTGCCTTCGTGTTTGCTGCGCCCACTGGCGTCACTGTCTGCATATTGCCAGGCAGCCCGTCTGCCTCCACAGTCGTCCCCAGGATCGCCGACATCCACTCGGCCCACTCCCATGGCCGCTCTTCACCGCCCGGCATCGAGTTGAAGTACTCCCAGCCCGACACGCCCGCAAAGGGACCGCCGCGGATGCCCGGCACGCCTGGAAACGCCACCGCCGCAGCCGATGTCGCTGCCTGCAGCTGCATCATGACCTCTGCTGACGTGTCCAGCGGCACAAACCCGGGGCCGTTGGCCGGGTTCGTCACGAGGCCCATCACCACGCGATGCGCCGGCCACACAATCGGGCCCGGAAGGTGAGCTTGAGGCGGGAGGCCCGCTGGCCCGCCTGCACCACCCAGTCCACTACCGGGCGGACCCAGGCCGACCATGGTCGCATACATGTGCGGCTGGCTCGCATCACCCCAGCCGCAGTAAAACTGTGCGTGGTACCACGCAATCTCGTGGCCCCGTTGGCGCTCCAGGTCGGCGTACGAGAACCCGCTGAGGTTGCAGCGCGGATCGTACGGCCGCAGCAGTGCCGCTGCAACAGGCGCCATCGTCAACAGGAAAGCCGGGCCAAAGTCGGCGCGCAGCCGGTCAATCAAATGAACAATGCCGGGCAGCGACATGGGCTCTTCGACGTCCAGATCCACGCCGTCAAGCCGGCGCCGCCGAAGGAGGCCATGCAGCAGGGCGTAGTGTGTCTCAAACGACTGCCGGGACACGCCCCCCCGCCCCACGTCCAGCCGCTCGTACGACCCCTTGGCCGCGCCCCCCAGCAGCGCCAGCACCCGCACCCCGCGCGCCTGCGCCGCCGCCACCTCGCTCCACAGCACGTCAAACCGCGCGTGGTCCGGCGCGTGGTCGTTGAGCGTAATCGGCTTGTCGCCGTCGGCGCCATTGATATGCACGGCGGCGACGACAATGTGCGTAGCCGAGGGTCGGCCAGAGCCGGCGCCATCGTCGCGGCCGAGCAGTGGCAAAATGGAAATGGGCCGCTGCCCGTCGCGGGTATGATGTGTCTGGTGGTAGACGACGACCTTGGGCGATGGTGGAAGAGGAGCCATTGTAACAGGGGGGTAAAGGGTGGCCGCAGAAGGAAGCGTGGAATGTGGTGTGCTCAAGAATGAGGGGCAAAAGTGGAGGGTGGTACGATTTCGCGACGATGGTGCGCGACGAGACGCAGCGAGCGGCGCACGACCCCAGATCGAACCGCGTTCTCTGCTAGGCGAGCTCTGTATCGTGATTTGGAAGTGGGAGGTGGGTGAGTACAAGTGATTTGAGATGCGCCCGTGTGAGAAGGAAGACGCAGTTGACAATGCTATTGTTGCGGATTTAGTAGTGGCGGGAGCGCCTGAGGAATAGTAAGCGTGGGTACTTTTTGTTTAAATTCGACGTGAAACGAAACATAAACATAAATAAACGTCACCGCTATTACGATAACTTGGTGGAATACACGACAAAGATAAATATAAGTAGTTCGATGCGTAATAAAAGAAAGAAGCAACGAAAATAATAATAACAATAATAAAATGAAAATGAAAATGCCAGCAACGAATAATTCACAACTGGCAATCCACAACATATACAGTCGTTTGAACAACGTACTATTCTTGCAAATATGAATCCCATTCTTATTTAAGTAGTAGACGGGGAATATTAACATAATAGTCAAAGCTTCACTATAAAGAAAGAAAACACCTATGAAAGGGTAACACCCCGTAGTAATATAGACGAAAGGAAATATAAAAGTATGAAATATATAAGAGAATGAATGAGAGTCAGAGGAAATAAGTATTCCAAACGCAAGAAACCCAGGACATGAACCAAAACGAAATGATTGGATGCAGTAAGATAGATATAAAGAAAAAGAATGCGCATTGTCCAAGGACAATATGCTCTCCAACACAATGCTCCCGCCTCTGTATTACGCCCATTATGTTGCGTCCTCTTTTGCCTCGCCTCCTCACATCTCACCCTACACCTTGCGTGCCGGCGAGCTCAGCAGGAAGCCGTCCTGGTCGTACAGGCCCAGACTGTCCCGGCTCGCTGCTGCCTGCTGCCGCATGCTCCGCACGCTCGGCGGCGTACTCGGGCCCATGGTCGACCGGGCCCGCAGCTTGCTCACAGGGCTGCCGTGTGCCGGCAGCGCCGCGGTGCCGACCTGAGTCGAGCGGCTCGGCGACTTGCGCAGCGGACGGCCTGTGTTGGCCTTGGGCGTCGACGGATTTGCGTTGGCGTTGACGTTGGCATTGGCGTTGGCGACGACGCCGAGGTGGGAGCCTGCGGTGGCCGAGGGCGTGAGGGCGCCGCCGGTCTTGTTGGGGGTGCCCGACGACGGCGTTGTCGAGCCCGATGCCGGGTTCTCGTCGACGCGGCGCAGGACGGTGCCGGTCGTGGTCATGGAGCGGGCCGAACGTGTGCGCTGGGGCGGAGGGCGCGAGGAGACGCCGCCGGTTCCAGACGATGACGACGACGACGACGACGCAGCCGGAGGAGCCGAGCTGCGCTTCGACACGGCACCACGGTTCTCCTTGTCGTAGCCGCCACCGCCGTGGCTCGGCACCTGCGACAGCCGCTTCTTGCCGAGCGCCAGGTACTGCCGGCTGCCCACGGCGCTGCTGCGGTTGGCCATGCCACTGGCGGACTCACCGGCACTGCTGTTGCGGCGGCGCGCGGCGCGGCGCGGCTGGGTCAGACCCATGGCCGAGGCAGTCGTGGCAATGTGCACAGCCGACGAGGGCACGCTGCCCAACGCGGGCGAGCGGCCGATGGCTGAGGTGGCGTTGCTGTAGCAGCTGGAGGCTTCGCTGTAAGCGGTGCTGTTCATGCGGCGCAGCTCGGCGGCGGCAGAAATGACGGTCATGTTGTTGTTGGTGTTGTTGTTATTGCTGCTGCTGCTGTTATCGTTCTTCTGCGAACCTTTGGACGTCTGCAAGCTGTACGAACCATGCGGGTTCTGCGCCATCTGCTGGCTCAGGGCATTGAGTGCGGTCAGGTTGCTCAGGCTGCCAAACGACGGCGGCCGTGGCAGGGGCCGCACGGCGCGGCGGAACTGGGCTTCCTCGCTCTCGATGGCCTGCAGCGCCTCGATGCGCTCGTTGAGTGAGCGGCGGCGGTGCCGGGGCGGGTTGGGCGGTGGACCACCGTTGCCCCAGCTGGTGCGCGGGTTCGCATGGTGGGGCACGAGCGAGTGCTCGTCCTCGGGCGCCAGCGTCGGCGAGCTCTGCAGCAGCGAGCGGTCGGCGGACTTGCGCCAGGCGGTGGGCGACGACGGCGGTATAATGCTAACGGCGGATGAGGGCGTCTTTTCGTCGCTGGGGTCGGCAGCGGAGGCATTGCTGTTGTTGCTGCTTGTGCTGGTGCCGTTATTCGCACCACGCTTGCTGGGGCTCGTCGCCATCCGGCGCACAACCTGTGAGGGCGTGGCTGGCCCGTCATCGTTGTCGCTGTTGGCGCCGTTCATATTGTGCGGTCCGCCAAAGGTGAAACGCAGGCTGTTGCTGTGCATCATATTGTAACCGGACTGCTGGTGCTGCGGGGACGGTGCCTGCTGCCAAACGCTGCCGTTGCGGCGGTGGCGGCTGCGGCCCTGGTTGGCGCCGTTGCGGGAGTTGGTGTTGGCGCTGGTGCTCATCATGCTGCCAAGGTTGTTGCCGCTCGAGCTGTGCGGGATCATGATGCCGTTGGCCTTCTTTATGGTGCCGGCCGACCGCTTGGGTGACCGTGGTGGCAGATCAGGAGCAGCCGCGGCAATCACAGACATACCACGCGATGCCCGGGACTTGGGCGTCGAGAGAGCTGCCGGGACCAGCGTGGCGTCATCAGTGCCTGGCACGACGGCATGGGACACCTGGACGCGCTCCAGATCCTTCTCGGCCGCAAACAGCTGGCTGTCGGCCGTCAACGTGATGCCCAGACCGGCCAAGATGCGGTCGTTCTGGGCGTCGTCGTCGTCGCCGCCGTCGTCACCGCTGTTGGCAATACGCACGCCGCCCTTGGACGTGGCCCTGCTCGCCACGGTGCCCTTGTCGGACCGCTCGTCGACACTGTAGACGGTCGAGAGCGACGAGCGAGACGAGGCCGCGGACGAGTACGCGGAAGACGGCGAGCGCGTCTCGGGGGACGAGTTGGAGAGATTGGATGGGGTTGGCGCGGGCAGGTGGACAGCGGGAGCCGGCAGCATCATGGGGTGTGCCATGACGCTGCTGCCGCCCGCCGCCTGGGTGAGTGTGCCGGCGGCGACGCGGTTCTTGTTGGGGCTCTTGCTGGGGCTGGACAGGGCCGTGGGAATGGCGTCCAGGATGGGACTGCTGTCGCGGGCGTCCTTGCCATGCTCGCCATCCCGCGAGTTTTTGCGCGCGGCCACCATGCTGTCGGCGTCCGAGCCCGAGGTCTGCGAGACACGCTTGATCGACTCATTATCGGCGTCAGCCGCAGCAGTCGACATCGCAGTCGCCGTGGCAGTCGCTGCAGCAGCGTCTGTCGTCTTGGCCGGTCCAGTCGTCGATGCGCGCTTTAGAGAGCCCAGGTTGCCCAGCTGCTGCTGGCCCTGCAGCTGCCCCAGACGCTGCTCCGTAGAGCGCAGGATCTCGGTCAGGGCGGCCTCCGTGGCATAGTTTGGCTGGGACGCGTGTTTGCTGCCGGAACGAGACAGGCGGTTTTGTTGCTGCTGCAGCATGTGCTGTTGACGGATCTGCTGCTGGAGCTGTACCTGCTGCTGCTGCATCATCATGACCATCATCTGGTGCTGCTGCTGCGCGGGCATGCTGGGATGGAAGGGCACGCCGGGCGGGATGTACGTCTCCGGCTGGCGTGGGATGATCAGGGCAGGCTGCGGCGGGCGGGGCAGAGTCCGGGTCGAGATGGGCGGCGGCGGCTGCAGAGACGGACCTTGCTGGTGCTGCTGCTGACGCTGCTGGGTCGGGTTGGGCGGCTGTTGCGGGCGGTAGCGTGGATTCTGCGGGCGCGGCGGCATGTTGGCCATGGAGGACCGGCTGGGGCTGCCGCTGCCGCTGACGTTGTTTGCAAACCAGGGGCCGTTGTGGCCGGACATGTTGGACGGCGGCTGGTTGCTTGGCGCGAGCAGACGCTGCTGCTCCGAGGGCGGTGGCGGGCGCTGCGGGAACGAGTTGGCGCGGATGACCGAGAATGTCGGCGGCGGCTCGCGCAGACCAATCTCGCCGCTGGCGGCGTTGCGGGCAATGGAATTGCCGTTGTTGTCGTTCTCGCCCGCGAAACTGGGGAAGAAGAGCGAGTTGGTCGAGGCAATAATGGATGTCTCGGGCCGGCGTCGACGCAGCTTCCGCGGCGAGCCGTCAGCCGTGCCTCGACGATGGTGGTGGTGGCCGTGGTGGCCGTGGTTGTGCAGGCAGTGGTTGCGCTGGCTCTGGAGCTTGATCTCGTTGCTGCCGCCCTGCGAGCCGCCACTGCTGTTGCTGCCCGTGCGGCCCAGGACGGCCGGGACCCGCTGCCTCTGGCGGCGGACCCAGCGGCGCTGGTTGTGCCAGAAGCGCCGCCAGCGCCACATCCACCACCAGACCAAGCCGGCGCCCTCAAAGTCCCCGTCCATGGTCGAGAACGAATCGCGCGTGGAAGCCAGCGAGCAGCACGTGCTCGAGGCACAGTCCGAGACGTTCGCGCCGCCTGGGCGGAAATAGTTGGCAGCGGCCGCTGCCGCCGCTGTGGCTGCGGCGTCGCCGGCCACCGGCTGGCCATCTGCCGGCCGGCCTTCCTCGTCGCTGTCCCGCATCATGGTGACGGTCATCATCTGCTTCTTGCGGGCCTCTTCCTCTTCCATGCGGCGGGACTCGCGGCGCTTATGACGCTTCCGCCGGGCAGCCCATGTGCACAGCAGACCGCTGGCCACTGCCACGAAGACGGTCCCGATGATCACGATGGCAATGATGACCCCGAGACTGATGGCGGGACCACCACTGGTAGCTCCGGCCGTGCCGGCACCATTTCTCGCGAGCAATGTGGGCATGGTGAAGTGTTGTATAACAATATGAACTACAAACGAAGAACAAGTGAAACGAGAGGACTGTTGATCGGAAGATCAGATGGCAGAAAACAAAACAGAAAGAAAGAGAACAAAAACGAGTGAAGTGCCTCAGAACATGCCGACGAATGGTGTCTGAAAGGCGGTGGATGAGGTAGTCCGATGAATGTATTGGCGAGGTCGGGGTCGGTGACGATGTCGGTGTCGAAGTCGATGGCGAGGTCGACTGCAAATAGGATGCGTTTTGCTCGGGACAAGTTGGCGATGCGATTGTCGACGATGGGCGAAAGGGATGAGGAAGGAAAGAGACAAAAAAAAACATAAAAAAGAACGGCTGGCTGGGCCATCGGGCAAACAAAAAGCATGAGAATTGGCATTTGATAATGACTTCGTTGCGACGACAAGGCCGGCTTGCCGCCTTGACAGCCAAACATACGCTGGAATGTGTTGTTGGGGACGACAAAGGGACGGCATTCCAACCATGCGCAGTGGCAGACAACGGACCTTCGGGAGATGGGTTCGACGACTTTGTGCTGCGGTGGGGCCATATGACATTCCATGAGCTCTCAGTTCGTCTCGATTTTTTTGTGCCCGATGGAGCTGGGCGATGCTGGCTGTGACAGATGACATTTGCGATTGGGGTTGCCGAAATTGCCACTTTCGGTGTAAGTCGCGATGCAGTGAGGATAGCGCAATTTGAGTGGTATACAACTAAATGCACTGCTTTTGTGCTGTCATCCTCGTGGAATGGGCGAATGCTAGAAAGCAATTTCGCAACACAGTCGGATTTTCTCTGCTAGGCTGGCCTGTGGTCCACGCCAGATAATGGTGTGCTTTTTGAATCAACGAAGGAAGCAACTGGGCAAAGTCGAAAACATCCAAAAAATATTCAAAACAATTCAAAATTGGAAAAAGTATGGTATCTCGTACAAGCAACGCCCCATTTCCTCCACCCCGGTCGACAACGGCATCTGCGATACCATGCAAAGACAAACAAACATCGATACAAATGATGAGACGACAGAGGAGTTCAAAGACATAAGATAAAAGTAAGAGAGGTAAAAGGGTAACCAAAGTACCAGAGTACCAAAAACTAGATGGAAAGAGGGACGAGAAGCGAACGCACAGCGGCGAAAGATTGCGAAATATAAACCAAGAAAGAAGGAAAAGGTGAAATGAGAAAAACAATGTCGACCTGTCGACCACAAATTCGACTCCAACAGCAAACCGCCTCAGTTTTTTTGTTGCCCGTACTCCACAACACCCGCCAACTACCACCGGTGCTTTCGGTGGCGGCGCATGTGGTTGTGGACGCGCGGCTTCACCGCGGCGGCCGGCGTGGTCGTGACTGTCGTCACCACCGTCTCCGGGTCCTCTGTGACATAGACAACCGTCTCCTCCCACAGAATCTTGGTCACCATGTTGCCATTGGTAATGTACTGCGTGCTGACCACGTTGGTGTGGGTGTCGCTGCTGGGCGTGCTGGGCGGCGGGGCCGTCACACTGCTGGGCGTCGAGGGCGACGGCGAGGGCGGCGGGGGCGCAGGCGACGAAGCAAACACGTGGTCCGAGTGGATGTTGGCCGCGACCTGCGCGTTGACGGCGGTGGTTGCGGCCGCATTGGGAGGCGACGAGGGCACCGGCGCACCGGCAGCGGCGCCTGTGGGGTTAGCCGCCTGGGCCACGACGCTGCCCGCTCCGAAACCACCGTCGAGACCCAGCGTCGACGTGGGCTGGAACGACAGCGCGGGGTCGTACGTGTTGAGCATGGTGACGTCCATGAAGTTGCCAAACGGCGCGACGTTGCCCGGCAGGCTAGCGGCGGGGCCGGCGGTGTTGTCGCTGGCCACATTGTCGGGAATCTTGATCTTACAGGCCTGGGCGTCGGACAGGGACTGGATGGTGAAAAGCGGGCAGTCCGAGATCTCGCCCGAGGGATTCGTGCAGGTGTTGACGGCCTCCTGGAGGAGAGCGACGTCCCAGCCGGTCATGAAGTCGCCATGGTACGAAAAGCCTAGACTGTCAGGTGGGTGGACGTGGGATCGGAGTTGCTCAATAACGCTGCTTGCTTACCTTGCACATCGCCATTGGAAATGACAAACTGGCCGGTGCGGCCAATGTACGCCGCCGTGTTCCAGATGGTCTCGTAAAACAGACTCGGTAGCCGCACGGGGAAGTCGTCGGGGCAGTCGCCCGCCATCACCAGGTCCGGGTAGGCCACGTGCGACCGGTGGTTGGCCGAGTCCACGTCCTTGCCGTTCCAGCACGACGGGAACATGAGCTCAAAGCGGATGCCGTCGGGGCAGTTGGTGTCCAAGAACTTCTTGTCAGGGAAGAAATGGCGGTACAGTGACGCCTCGGGCGAGGTGCTGTAGTCGAGGCAGTTGAAGCCGAGGGCGCGCTGGGCGAGCTTGTCCTGGCTCGTCTGGTTGAGCGCCGCCCAGTTGGACTTGGGCGGATCGGCCATCTCGACGTTGCCGGCCGTGAAGGCGCGGCGTTCGTTGTCGCCGGCAATCATGCGGAAATCCTTGGGAAAGGCGGTGATGTTGTTGTTGCCGTTGCCCGAGTTGAGCAGGTAGTAGGCGAGCGTGCCGCCGACCTGCTCGACGAGCTCGTACTGGTGGGTGGTCGTGTCCAGGAAGTACAGGGCCGGGTGCCAGTACGACGACTTGTCCTCGGTCACCAGGCACGACGTGCAGTCGCTGGCGGTGATGTCGGCATACGTGGCGGACTCGCCGAAGCCACCGGAGCCCATGATGGCGTGCAGGTGCGAGGACGGGCCACCGGGGGATATGAGGGGGTCGATGCGGGCGTTGCCGGCCACGCCGCGGCACTCCATGCGCCAAAAGGCCAGGGCCGGCGTGATGGCCGCAGCCACGAGAATCGAGACCCGTGGGCTGACCATTGTCGGTATCTTTGGAAAAAAAAAAAAGGAGGTCCTGGATCGAACTGGTGATGTTTTTGGAAGGCGAGTCTCGAATTTCCGTATAAGGAAAGTACAGTCGAACAGTCGAACGGTCGTGGAAGGTACGATGCCGTGGTGACGGGCCTCGAAGATTGTAGTTTCCTGATCGAGAAGGTAGAGGTTCCTGCCAAATGGAGACACACTATATCTGAAGTCGTAGATTGGCGATAGTCGATATCGCGTTGTAGAGCTGAAAGGAGAGAATCAAGTGAAAGACGATGCGGTAAAAAACGAATGCGATCAACACGACGAAGCAGACAATGAGCGGGAGGACACTATGAAGACGATACGTGGTACAGCCACTGCTGACAATGAACGTCCGAGAATGCCAAAAAAAAGAGTGGAAGTCGAAGTGAAGATGTTGAGATGTCAAAGACAGTATCAAAAAAGCATCAACCAGCGAGCGAGTGCACGCGGCGAAGAAGACAGAAAAGAGGGTGGGTGCAAGAGGAAAGGCTTCAAAGAGAAAAAAAAAAGAAGGCAGAGGTCAAGAACAAAAGGAAACGGACGACAACGAGGGTGGTGACAAGGAAGCAAACGAGAAAGGGAGGACCTCAGGACCGCAGGCGAAACGGGAGAGACTGGGGGAGTGTGGAGAGACAAGACACACACACTCTGGAAGCAACTGAGAACCGCAACGCCACTACAGAATATTTTGCATCCATTTACACGCTACACACGAGTCTTACAGATCCCCGACGGGGACACTCAGTCCAGTGCAATGAGAGACGCAACACACACGCTCGTCCTATCGTGGGAACGGGGAGAGACGAGGGGATAAAGGGCAAGAGTCAAGCGTGGGTCAAGCGCTGGCTGGCTTCACCTCACACAAGCAATAGATTAAGGAACAGAGAGCCAAGGGGTTGCGTGTGTCGTGTTAGTGGTTAGTGCCTGTCAGGGGCTGGTTAGGGTGCAGAGAGGGACAGGGGTGTGTCCCCTGGGACAACACGAGCGAGGGATCAAGAGAAAGGCAGAGAAGGTCGGTGGGTGGGTGATGGAGAGATCTGGTGGCTGAGCTTTACAATGCTTTGAATGCGTTGCGGCTCGCAACTCTATTCTTTGCTCAGACTTTGGATTGCGCACTTTGTGGCTTTTTGCCTGTTGCATGTTGCCTGTTGCCTTTTGCCTCTTGTTTCTTTTTTTGTATCGTGGACGGTCTGTGCGCCTCCATCGTGAGGTTGCAGATTTCATGCTCGATCCCGGGGTAAGGCGAAAGAGGTCGTGAAATACGATACAGGTGCCGGACGAGAAAATGCTACTCTATGAAAGAAACTCTGTTTGGATCGCGACAGCAACGACATAGAAAACAAAGTGCGCTGGCAGAAACGCGCTTGTCGTCTCGTCTTTCACTCTCTTTTTTCTCCCTAAATAGGAGCGCAGGATCGACGGATTCCTCTTGTTAAAAAGGTGGATCGACGGACTTCGCCCTGTCCTTCACCTTGAGCCGCAGAAGATCGATCCTAGATTTACAAGTGGTTCCAGGGTTTCCCAGTAGCCAGGGCGGGCCGAGCTTTGCGGATGAAAAGGCAAAAAAGGCAAAGAGATGAGCGAAGGTGCCGTGGGTGAAGAATGCAGGCCGCTTGACAAGAGAAAGACCGTCAAACCTCACGATGCCCCATTTGATCCTTGACCCTCCTCGCGTATTGTGTCAGAGAATCGTAAACCGTCAGATAGAATGTCTCTGAGAGGAACACGGGAAGAAACACATCGGACGAGCCACGGTGCTGACAGCACATCTCATGCGTGTCTCTCACATCCCGTTGGTGAGCGTGGTCTGTCCAACCTTGCACGACAGAAGGGTCAATTTCCCAGTTCAGCTTCATTCGCTGTCCCTGCCAGTCGTCACTGCTCCTGAGTCACGTTAGTCAAAGTCGTGTGGACGGGAAACGAAGTGAGCATAAAGAAGGAATAGAAAGACAACGCATGTTTCCCCGTTGAAATCCCCTCGCTCCTGGGTTCACCACTTGGTTTTTTTCTAGTCTGACGCGTGAAACAGACGGCGGTGCCAAGGGCCTGTCACACATGAAGGGTCTACTCGACAGAACTGAAGATAATCTGCCCAGCTGGCCGCCAAGGGCACAAGGCAAGCCCACATCCACGAAGCTTACGGCCGCCGTCGTAATGACAGCGGGAGGGTCGTTCTGTCACATTCCAGAGAGTGGAGGGGATTGTCGGTTGTGTATGCAGTTTTTACGCTGTAGTTCGGAGAACCCTGTTTGAAGCAGAATAGACGACACTGCTCACGTATCCCTTGCTCTGTGAGTGGACAAACGCAGAGCAAGGGGAGGTGAGGTTGCCCAAAAACCAAGAAATAAAGAAGCTAAAGAACCAAGGAACTCCGTGAGGTTGGTGATGAAAAGACAGCAAGAATGCAGACAGTCGCCACAGAAGACAAAAGGGCCAAGCTCGATGAGGTTGCCCCCAAGAGTCCCAAGAACTTCCAAGAAGTCCCAAGCGATCAAAGGGGCTGCATCAACACTCCAGCCATACCCCCTTGTGCCTTGGACCCATCTCATTGGCCCTCTTTGATGCCTGGCTCTCCTCTCGTTGGCTGATTTGTCCCAGCACGACCCCTAGCCTGAAACACGTTTCGGGATCGATTCTGTGTTCTTTGTGCGGCGGTTGTCAAAAGACCGCCATGCCCCTCTTTGCGACAAAGAAGACCGGCCTTCTGTGATTTCGTGAATGCCTTTTGACCCTTGACTGAGGCACGCCACTTTGATCTGTGTCTGTCCAATCCACGTCGAGAAGTGCAGTGCAGCTGTTCACCGGCGGCAGCACAAAGGTTGAGACGGCACGCCGCACTCTGCAGCACGCGCCGTGCCTTGCAGATTTCGATGCGGGACGAGACAGGCAGATACATGCAGAGAAGAGACGAAAAGGACATCGCAAAAAGGGTAAAAGAAAACAAAGGACGCAAGAGAATAGAAAGCTAAAATCGAATGTATAAACTCGGTGGCTGGCACGGCTCGGCTGATCTACCGGCTGAAAAAGTCAAAAGGCAAACTGAGGGAAGCTTGTGTCTGTCAAATGAAGCGCGGCCTGGTTTCCGTGGCGAGCAGAAACGCTTTTGGGCCGGGGATGCAAACATAAAATAAAGTGTCGAGAGACGGGATGATGCGCATTGGCAGGCGGGTGTGCCTGACTGCCTGTCCAGCTGACGTTAGGGGCAATGTACCTGAATCTCAGTGCTGTGCGCTGCATTAGTAGGTACCTTTGTACTACTTCGTACAGGTCTGGGTATCCAGCCTGTCTAATATTTCTTAAAAAAAGTTTACGTCTGAATCAGCTATGAATACGATGCACCAAATCCTCTTTTATTGTCTCCTTGTTTCACTAATTTTCATTTAAGTTTTCGTCTCCAGTTATGCAAACTCGCAATAGCCTGTGAACTTTAAAGTACCTCCGCGTACATCGAAGATGCCGTACCTGACATGACGTAGATCGACACGTGACCGCTCCGGACCGAGGGGGTTGAGTCCACCTGTTCCGAACATCCACATCCAAAGTCGAGCTACCCAACGGTCGACCTCACCGAACCGACAACAGTACGTCCGGTCGGCTTTTGACCTGCGACACAACCGAGCGCAGTCGAGCATTCGCCTTCTACACGTCCCACGCCCACCATGTCGTCCACCGCCCACCGCCGCCTGCTCCAGGAGTACCGGTCCCTGACCAATGGCCCTCCTGAAGGCATCACCGCCGGCCCCGTCTCCGAGGACGACATGCTGCTCTGGGAGGCCGTCATCCAAGGGCCCGAGGGAACGCCCTTTGAGGGCGGCGTCTACCCGGCCGAGCTCAAGTTTCCCAAGGACTACCCGCTCGTCCCGCCCACCATGCGCTTTGTCGGCTGCGAAGTGTGGCATCCAAATGGTACGACCCCTCTCCCCCCCCTTCACAACTACCTTCAACTACCTCCGAGGGAGTGGTTCCTCTCTGCTGACGCACACCTTTTCTCACCCTTTCCCCCAGTCTATCCCTCCGGTCTTGTGTGTATTTCCATTCTGCACCCGCCCGGCGACGACCCCAACCACTACGAGCAAGCCTCCGAGCGCTGGTCGCCCGTCCAGAGCGTCGAGAAGATTCTGATTAGCGTTATGAGCATGCTGGCCGAACCCAACGACGAGAGCCCTGCCAACGTCGAGGCCGCCAAGATGTGGCGCGAGCGGCGGGAGGAATACAATGCAAAGGTGCGGGCGAACGTGCTGTCGATGCTGGGGCTATGAGAGCGAGCCGCGGCGATCGCCGGAGCGGAGTCTTGCAAGCATCGTCGCATCATATCTGTCGCACAGCACAACCCAATCCACTCCCATACCCGGTCAACTCGCAAGGCGCACGGCGTACGGCTACATTTCTTAGCATAGCGAAAGGGTCTGTCTTTATTTTTTCAGTGTTCGGGTAATCTATTTTTCTTTTCTTTTCCAGAAAAAACAAAATAAAATAAAAATAAAAATAACACCCGTCTCTATCTTCTCCTAAACCGTGAATCCATAACCATGCATGTAATTCATAATGTCGCTCGTCAAACATGGCCCAACGCCACCCCCCCCCCGACATCTTGTTACATCTTGTTGTCTGCCTTGAACTTGTCCCAGGCCTCGTTGAGCGTCGCAAACACCGTCCCCGCAATCATGCGGATCTCCGTCGACGCGTCCTGCGGCAGCTTGTCCGGGTGCGTCTTGCCAATCGCCCGCATGTAGACAATCTTGACCTTGTTCGGCATCACCAGCTCGTGCAGACCCACCGGCTTCCACCCGCTGCCCTCCCACAGCACCCGCTCCAGACTGCCCAGCAGGGCCCGCAGATTGTCCTTTTTGCCGTCGCGCCACGCCGCCACGCGCGCGTCCACCTGGTCCAGCAGCCCGAGCTTCTCCGAGTCTTCGCGCGCCGCCGCCTCGTTGGCCGCCCGCAGCCGCTGCACCGCCTCAAAGTCGCGGCCGCTCGCCGAGGTCGGCGTGGCCGTCCCTGCCAGTCCACCAAGAGCGCTGCTGGCGCTGGGCCGTGCCGGCCGCGACACAGCGGCTGCTGCCGCCTTGGGAGTGGGCGTGCGTGTGGGCTTGGGCTTGGGCTTCAGCGCCGTCTGGCACCGTTGCCGTCCCGCAATCGCCGTCGCACCGCCCACGCCGCTCTCCACGCACTGCTGCCACACCTGCCCGGCCTCGCCCCACTTCTCCATCTGCTCCAGCGCCTCCGCCTTGCGCGTCATGGCTTTGCCGTACAGGTCGCGCAGGTCACGCGTGGCGCCCGTGCCGTCTTCGAGGCTGACCGACTCGCCCTCGCCCTTGCCGGGGCCAATGACGGCCAGCGCAGAGTCGGCGTCGGCCGCGGCCTGCCGCGGCTCGCCCGTCTTGAGTGCCGTCAGCGCGCGGTTGCAGTACAGCACCACCAGCAGGGGGTGCGACGGCGGAATGTCGGTCAACGACGCCGCGTAGGATGCATGTGCTGCCGCGTAGTCTCCCCGTTTGAAGTGGGCCGCTCCGTCGGCACGGTGTTTGGCCGATGCCTGGAGGACAAACGAGTTGACGGCCGGCACCTGGCGCGCGACCTTGGGTGGCCGTGGGCTCGGCGTGGCGCGCGGCGTTGGGCGGCCAGAAGCGCCAGCGCCCGCGCCCCCACCCGTGCCCGCCGGCCGTTGTTGGGATGCTGCTGGCCGTTGTGGCAGAGCAGTCGAGTTGGACAGCAAATCGCCTTCGGGCGGAGCGTCAACGTGTCTGCTGGCGGGCTCAGGGGCCGGAGACGCCGTCGCCGCCTTCCGTCGCCGGGCAGGGCTGACGTAGACTTGGGCGCTCTCTTCTTCAACCGCTTGCTTGGTGAGCCGTGCTCGCGGGTCAGAAGCACTAGCGCCCTGCTGCTGCCAACGAGGAACAGGGCTGTTCCGGCTTGGCGGTCCCGAAGCGAACCCACCAGCAGGCGACTGTGTCCGGGACGACGGGCTCTCGTTACGGTACCGTGGCTGCTCGGACAGGGATGCGGCAGCTGCTGGGGGCCGTGAACTGTGCTGTCTCCGCTCGGGCCGTGCGCCCGACTCGAGCATCATGGCCTCGTCGGTGGCCGAGGCGGTCGATGCAGCCGTCCCAGTATGCCTCCGCCGCGCGTCGCCCCCATCGTGTGGTGCGCCCATGTGCTCCTGGCCTGCCGCAGACCGCATCCACTTGGGCTGGCTGGGGTCACCCTCTTGTTGGAAGTCCTGCACGGCCTTTTGCAGCTGCTTCTGGCCCGTCTTCCACAAGGAGTTGGCCGTCTTGAGGAAGTTTGTTCCCATGGCCGCGGCGGTCTTGGCAAAGTCGCCATCGCCAGAAGCAGCATGCGACCGGCCGTCGCCCGTGCCAGAGTGGCCGCCCACCTCGGCGTCGCGCATCCACGCCGGGCCGCCTTGGTTCCGACTGCGGCTCGAAGTGCGGCTGGCGCCCTCCTCGGCCCGCAGCTGATCCGCACCACCGCGACCACCGCCTTGCTTCACACCGGCCTTCTCCTTGGCTTTCCGATGTGCGTCGTCCAGCAGCCAGTTTACGGCCGCTTGCACGTCATAGCCCCGCCCGCTCCCAGTGAGGCCCCTTTGTGCATCCTCGGCACTAAACCCGTAATCCACCAGCTGTGCTACGGCGTTGTCGAACTTGGGGTCGCCCGTCTTTGCAAAGCCGCCGTCGCCGTCGCCGACGTCTAAGTCAGAGTCGGAGTCGGAGTCGGAAGGTTCAATAGGCTTGCCCGGCTCTGGCTCTCTCTGTCGCCGCTGTTGCTGCGCCTCTTGCCGCCGCTGTGCCTCCGTCTTCCGCCGCACTTCGTCCACGGGTTTGGCCAGATCGCCGAGGAAATCATCGTCGTCGTCGACACCCCCGCCCGAAGTCGGCGCCGGTGCAGGAGGTGGGGCAGTCGTCGTCCGTGCCTGCAACTGATTCAGTCCAAACGGATCGTCGTCGTCCAGCGTCAAAGCATTTTGTGTCGCGGTGCCGGTGCCGGTGCCGGTGCCGGTGCCGTTGCTCGCCGTCGGCGGCTTGCCCCAGGCGCTGGGGTTGCTGAGGTCAAGAGCGGGCGTAGGGGTCGACTTGCCCGATGGGTTGCCGGCTGGCGGTGGAAAGTGGCTGGCCTGGTCAACTTTGGTGTCGGCATTGAACGCCGCAAACAGGTCATCGTCGCCGCTGCTGCCACCATTCAAAGGAGAGGCACCCCGCGAGATCGGAGCCGGTGGTGGTGCCAGCGCAGGCGATCCTGTGCGCGACGTGCCCGCCGAGCCGCTGCCGCCGCGGCCCAGGATGTCAAAAAACTGCCCGTCGCCATAGTTGGCCTGTGTCTGCTTGCGCTTCTCGTCCTCCTTGCGTCGCTTCTCCGCGTCAAGGCGCTCCTGCTGCTCGCGCAAGCTGAGGTTCGCCGGGTTCTTGTTGGCGCCAAAGTTGATCAGGCCGCTGAAGCTGTCCTGGCCGGGCTTCTGAGCCGCCGAGGAGGGCAACTGCCGGGCACCCACGCCAGCTGATGCTCCGGATCCTTGCGCCGAGAGATTTGATAGGGGTGTGTTGCGGCCCGAGCCCGAGCCCACGCCGGGTGGCGGTGTTGGTCGCAGTGATGCGTAGGACGAGGCGGCACCAAAGGCCGCCGATTGGGTGGCGAGGGTCGGTTTGGAGGGGTTTTGCTTGTTCGTCGAGCTGCTGGAGGACCAGTCCAGGCCTGAGAGGTCGTCCATGGTCTACGAATAACAGGTGCTCATGCGGTTGCTGAGCATTGATGTGTTGACGATAAAAGGAGCTGAAGTTGGCTGTGGTCGTTGTTTGGGGCATCCATAGCACATCGTGTTAATATGTGTCCAGGGGATAGCTCAAGCCACTGTGGGGCAATGTCACGTGTGCCTTTTGTGTCTGCGCAACACCCAGGAGAGAGCTGTGCACAACGTGTAAAATGGGGTGTAAGAGAATCACGGATGATGGAGAGGTAAGCGTGTCAGAGGGATTTCCGGATACGATTTATTTTGGATTTTGTGGAAGCTGTTGCAGCCCGTTGCACCGACGGCCATGATGTCCATGGAGACAATTGTTGGGCGAATTCGGGGAAAGCCGCGCCTAAAACGGTAGCTCTGGCGGGGCCTGAACGCGGTAACTACGCCGTAGTGCGCTGTAATTGATACGCTGAAAATCGGCAGCGCGGAAAAAAAGCTTCGCGTCTCTCGTCTTTTGCCTCGCCATCTCTCGACATCAGCATAACACGCAACGGCCCCAATTCGCCGCCACGATGCCGCCTCGACTGCGGCCGCGGCCGCTTCTGGGTCCTGGCCAGTCTCTTTTCACAGCACAAGTCCGGCTAGCACGGCCTGCGGCGACACGATCATCACAGGCGTGTCTCTTCTGCTCGCTTCAACAACGCGCAGCATGCAAACCCCAAGCAGCACATGCACGCCTTGCCAGCAGACAGCAGTCAATAGCACGGCGAGGCGCATCGACAGCGACGGCAGTATCAGCTGCAGAAGCCGCAGGGCCTGTACCTGCTGTGGAAGAAGCGCCCATCGAACCGCTCTCCACGCGAACCTCGGCACAGATTCGCGCCGACCTCGCCGACACCCTCGGCGCCCTTCAGCAAGAAGCCGGCGCTCTCCTCAACATATCACGCCTCCAGCTGGCCATCCGCAGTCTGCAGCAGCCTGCCGGTCAGGAGTCCGTACGCGTTGCCATTCTCGGTCTCACCGGCGTGGCATCGACCTCCCCGGTCCAGGGAGGCAGGTCCGCCAAGCAGCTGCTGCGACTTGTCCTTGCCGACCCGTTGCAGGATGAGCAGGCATGGGAGGCCCAGCTTGCCGACCACGACCCAAAGAAGCCATTGATTGTGCGCGTACGGGGTGCGGCGGAGGGCGTCAACGGCTCGGCAGCGACGGCCGCTGCATCAACATTAAACGTGCGCTTCGACAAGGACGAAGGCCTCACCGAGATGGAGGTGTCCTCGCCCGTCCTCAACGGAAACCAGCTCGAGTTCCTCGTCATGGAATCCTCGCTCGCCGTCCCAACACCACCGGCGTCTGCCACATCTGACCCGCTTGAAGGCACTACGGAGACGTTTGAAGAGACGGTGCTCGTGCCGGAGGTTGAGATTCACACGTCGCAGGACGGCCTGCGCTTCACACCCGTCACAACGCCCGTGCACCAAGCCCTGGTCGTCGCCGACGGCCTACTGGGTGCAGCTGCGGTGGCCAACCTACCGCTCAGTGCCTACCCAGACGAGATGAAGGGTGCTGTCAATCTGCGTCTGC